CCCCAAAACCCCAAAACCCCAAAACCCCAAAACCCCAAGCTGAAAAAATCTAATGAATAGATGAGATTAATAAATGTGCAAAGTTGATTTAATTTCATCATATATTTCCTACGTCAATTATTATAATTATATCAATGGTAGAGACACCCAGACGCAAAAGTATTGCTCTATCTTAAGATGCTGAAATAATCTTCAAATTAATGTCAGATGAGTAAAGAAGATTATCGCTATCCTTGAACTAGAAACTAGTCATACCGCAGAAGAGTGTGAAAAAGGATTTTCTCTGTTCACTTTGCTAAGCTATTCTAGTTGAACCAATGAAATGCATTCAATGTAAAAGCCATTTTCACTAGGCATGCTTAAATAAGTTCTGCAGAGAGACTGGTTCTTGTCCTATGTAATGTAAAAAGCCTAAGTTCGTCAGTATTAAGAAGGATCTTGAAAAGGGACTTAATGATTTGAAATTTGGCTGTCCCTACTAAGATCTAGGTTGTGATAAAGTTTTCTCTTACCAAGAAGCAATGACTCATGATTAAAATTGCAAATATTAGCTAGTAAAGTGCTAAGCTTACTCTGAGTGTAAGACTAAATGCATTAAATAAGACATTGATAATCATTAGTCAATATGCGCATATTGCAAAGTACCCTGTATTTACTGTTTATAACAGGTAAAAAGAATAGATATATCTTAGCATGAAAAAGAAGCCTGTACTGGTAGTCATTTATGCTCAATGTGCTCATTATAAGTCAGTAAAGAAGAAATTTAGGGAAGCAATCATAATTGCTTCAATTCCCTAGCTGGGTTGTTAGGAAAGCTAGTTGAGGAAAAAGATGCTGTAATCTAACTCTTAAGAGATGAACTGATTCGTAAAAACAAGCAAATTATGTAGTTTATTCAAAGATAAACGATATTGGAGCTAAGATTGCAAAGGATGGAAGATACTTTATCATATGAAGACGGGTCAGATTTTTCATTTGCAAATAGAGGTGTTAGTTTGTACTAAGAGGATTTATTGAATCTTAGAGGAGCTTATGAGCTTATTATGAAGAATGATGATGATGGGGTAGTGATTCCATTAGATCAAGATGATAACAATAGTACTGGTGATAGTTCAAACTAAGCATAAAACTTATTTGATTATTATGAAAATGAGATACCAGAAGAAGTTATTTAAAAACATTTGAGTTCTGTATCTGAAGAATATTAAGACACATTCATTTTCGCCTAGAGTATGCTGAGTGAACATAAGAAATTCTTGAAGAGTCCAGACTGGGATTTGCATTCAACTGTTGATAACTGTTAGCTTTATGTAAGCTTATCAATTTTCATCTTAAATCAAATAATAGATAAGGTTATCTGAAAGGAAAATTAACTGCTTAAAATCAAAAGCAACCATAGATCTTCCTATTTAGTCAGTTTTCTCAATGATTTAGGACCTCGAATTAAAGCCCAAGTATGATGAAACATTTTAGCAAGGGCATTATCTCCAAAATTTCCCTTTAGAGACTGCAATTATCTATTATTAATACAGGAAAATGCTGTTAGTCAATCCAAGGGATATGATCATGCTTGTCAAAATTCACAGAGTAAAATAATTAAGGATTAAATCATTATTAGGTCAGTCCAGATGAGATATATATCCTAGCAAAGACAATTGATTCCTAGCATCCAGAATAGGATGGGATAGTTCGAGCAGACTGTTACGTAGGAGGTTGGAAAATCAAATCAGTTAGTGCAAAGCAAACAAAAGTTGTATTCTACTCAGAAACAGATTACAAAATCAATTAATTTATTTCAAAGCAAGTTATCAGCAAGTCTGGCCACCTGGCTCATGCTCTTAAGAAGTATGTAAATTAGTAGTAGAAGAAAGGCTAGAAGTTTTATTGAATCAATCTAATATTTTTAATTCGAAAATTCATTCCTTGTAAATCATTTAAGTCAAAGGTCCCTCGGGGTTTTGGGGTTTTGGGGTTTTGGGG